GGTTTGCAGACACACCCCGCCTCCTCCCCCGGTCTTGAGTGCCTTCCTTTGGTTACTTGTTAATCCTGCCAGGTGTCACTGAGAGACTACCTTCTCTGGGTGGGCACGTCTTCATAGGGTACTTCAGTTTGTTGATGATCAGCTGTGGTGTTGGGAACTGAACACCAGCCTCCTGCCTTGAGCCAGGACCTGGACCCCGTGAGCTCTTCCCGCCTGGGGCTCCTGTTAACGGCAGTGCAATGCAGCTTGCGGCTGCAGCCATTTCTTTCTCTGGCATTTTGCACAAAGTTGGCCTCTGCTGACCTTAGCAACTGAAGTGTTCATTGTCATGACATGAACTGATGGTAGCTGGGTTCTCTCTTCCCACTTCTCCCTGCACATTTGCTTTTTCAAACTCAGTACAGGACTTTACACTGATCTTTGCTCAGTTTTCTCTGTCCGGTGCCCCTGAGGTCATTTTGAATCCTGATTCTGTCAGCTCAGACATTTATAATATCTTCTCTGTTGCATCTTTGATAAGCCTTAACTCCCCTGGACTTGAGGTGTTAAATGTATGGGACAGGATTGGGCTGCAGACAGCAAGTGATCCATAGTCTGTGTCCCTTGCCTCAGTTGTCAGCCAGTGTCCACACCCAGCTCCCGGCCCCACAGACACCAGAGGCTTCCAGGTGCCTGGTTTAAATTCACACTTGCCATGTTTCTTTATCTCATATACCTTCCAAAGTGCTTTCACATTTATTATCTGCTTTATCTAAAAGCAGGCATGGCAGTTCAAAGAGGGGCTTGCCCACAGTCCGAGAAGAAGTCAGTGGCAAGGCCGTTTGAACCTGGTACTGACCCCCATTCAGAGCTCGGCGAAGCAGGGTGGTGGTTTTAGGAGCAAGCAGAGGGATTTTTTGGCATCTCTGAATGAGGCAGGAAAGAGTCAAGCTGAAACCCCAGAGGTAGCAGAAGGCCTGGCTTGGTCTCTCTAGTCCCCCTAAAGATTCTGCAGCAGACAACAGTTGTGATGCATGTTGGGTTCTGGGCCTAAATTTTCCCAAGAGAAAACTACATAATTTTTAAAGTCCCATCTAACATTTCCAAAAATCTGAATCTAAACCAGGTTTTATCCCCCTCACTCTCCTCTCTATACCAACTAGAAAATGTGGGTGGATTGAGAAAGAACAGAAAAGAAAGATCAAAACTGTGACAACCCTCTGACAACATTTTAACTTGAAAATTGCCTGCAAATGGGTGGCATAATCCTGTGTGGGCAGATGTAAATCAGGTGCACGTCTACTCAGCTCCTTCTCCTTCACATCTCCTAACAAACACCTGGAAAACACAGCCCTGGACTTGACCGTTGGCCTTCGGAAGACTAACTCACTTCAACCTGCCTGATTCCCCAGTTGGGTGAGACCTGCTCCTCCACTGCACTACCAGAGCCTGTGTCATGCTGGTGGCCTCACCTCCTGCTGCCCCTATTGGTGGCACCTGTACACCCTGTGCACCCCCCTCCCTGCTGCCCCAGGCCCAGCATCACCAGCAGGTTCTCATTAAGTGGTTGAGAGGAACAAAAAGTCAGGAGATGGGACTCCAGTTCTAGTCTGCTCCTTAGGTGCCAGTCCAGAGGCTGATTCTGCAAAATCAATCCCTCTTTCTCCCCCCACCCCCCCGCCACACATACACACACGCTTCCCTGGGCAAGGCAGAGAAGTGTGGATGGTTCTGCACCAAGCCTTTCCTACTGGTGGGAAAAAATTCTTCGCTCAGAGGACACTGGGTCATCACACCTGTCACCTGCCTAGCCTTGTGCTGACACCCTGGCCTGGCCTCTCCCTGAGCCCAGCCCCTCTCTAAGCCTGACTAGTGGCAGGGCAGGGGGGCTTGTGGGGAAGCTCTGCTGAGTTGCCCTTTCTCCTCTGGCAAAAGAAAGGGTGGAGCCAGAGCACCTAGGAAGGTGACTCTGCACCCAGGCTCTGTGTTTTGTGTGTCCAGCCTTCTCCTTTAAGGCTGTGAGTCACCTGACATTCTCCCGCCCCACTCCTGGCTCTGCAGCCTGACAGGGGCTATCCCAACAGTGACAGTTACTGCTAATGATGAGTTACAGTGCAGTGAGGGGTGCCTTAGGACAGAGGAGGGGAGGAGAGGGCTGTGGTAATCAGACATTCTGATAGAGTGCTCTCCACTTTTCAGAGTGCTTTTTCATTCCCTGAGGGAGTGACTTGCCTCACAGCAGATCTCAGGTCTCCCCAAGTTCCTTCCCCCCTAATGTAACCTCCCATCAGCAGAGGGGTGTCCCAGCATGCTCAGGAAGCGCTTTGGGAGCTTAGGGGAAGAGTGTTCACCATGGCAGCAGCCCACAGGACTGGCCGGGAGCCTGTGTGACATGACAGGATAGGGGTGCGTTCTAGGCACAGAGTGCCATCCTGACGTGCCTTTATTTAGGCCCTGGGCATCAGGGCAGGCTGCACGGAACCATTCCTACTCCCTAAGCAGTTGGCTTCTGCGAGCCCCCTGGTTCCTGTTTTTCTACCACAGTTGCAAAGAAGGCCCACTTTCAGCTCTGGGTTATCAAGACCCAGCCCAGTAGATCCAGGGGGCAGCCTCTCATTTCCTCTTACTTCCCAGGCTGCCCTTCATCCCTGAGCTGCCTTGATTTGTCTCCAGAGCTTGTCCCCTGGTCAGTATGTGCAAAACTGAGGCTGGCCCACCCCACCCACCAGGAGCCCAAAGTGTTTTATGTAAGTCCTCCCAGAGGAAAGGACCTTAACACAAATGGGGAGGCTTGCAAAGGTAGGGGTCCTGTCTCTTAATGGGGTGAGTGATGAGCCAGGACGCGGCCTGAGCCAGGCCTCTGCTCACAGGCTTCCCTGGGGACCCTGGCCACAACTGCCGTGGAGCGGGGCTGGGACCACCACACGGACAGGTTCTGTGATGGAACTCTTGTGCTTGGAACAGGCTTGCATGAGGCATGCGGTCCATCCCCAGCCCTTTGGGAAGAGCAAGGAGAGAGCAGAGGGGCCCTAGGACAGAGCTTTAGGGCTTAGAGCAGCCCTGGTATTGCCCCCAGCAGCTTGGCCCAGGGCAGACATGCGTCTGCAGCCCCAGGGCGAGGCCAGGCCTTATGTCTCACTGCTGCTGCTGCTGTTGAGGTGGGCTCTGTATGTTTGCGTGCATACACGTGTATTCTCTCATAGTCAGGGAATGACACATGCATCTGTTCGTGTCTGTGTATGTGCGCTTACCCATGAGCCTGGCTCACAGTGGGAGCTTGTACAGGGTGTGTGTGGTGATGGGACACTGGGCCCCCTGGGGACCCGAGGAAGCATGATCACGTGGGCCTGGGCTCCAGAGCTGGCCTACGGGCTGGTCCTGCGAGGGTCTAGGGCTCAGTTGTATCCAAAGTGTTTCCTAAGACCCTGTCCCTGTTATTCCCCAACCCAAAGCCTGCACCATGTAGCCCAGCACCCAAAGCTCTGTTCCCAAGAGGCCTCAAAAAGGATGGAGAGACGATATTTCTTCTTTACCTACCTTTGTGGTTCTCTTAGTGGCCTCTTCCCACCAATTGGTCATGAGGACTGACAGCATCTGTGCTCTTGGCTGCCTCAGGCACAAAACAGGCCACTGTTCTGCCCTCAGCCTGCAGCAAGCGCAGGCCAAAGTGTGTAGGAGAGTGGAGGGAGCTGGCGTGGATGGGGTGGGCTGTGCGGTTGTGTCAGTGGTTCTGACCCTGACTGTCCATGAGAACCCCTGGGGAATTGCTGCTGCCTGGGTCGACCCAGCATCTCTGGGGTAAGGGCTCAGGCGTCGGCGCTCTTTAGAGCGTCCTAGGTCTCTTCTGTGCAGCCAGTCCAGAGGACCTCTGATAGATAACGACAGTGAAATATTGCTAAAATAAACCTGTGTTGGTTTAGGGATACTTACATATACATCTGTCTAGTAGAAGTATTAAGATGTGCAGTGGAACAAAATGAAACCCAGGAAAGTGGTTGTTTCCAGGTGCACGAAGCAGGGTGATAATATGGGGAGGGGTTGGTTGTCATGTTTCGTTTCTTGAGCAGAGTAGTGGGAACATGGTATTATTTCGTATTTTTCGGTTTGGTTGAAATAGTTCATCGTTAAGTTAATGGGAAAAAAAATCATGGATTTTTTGGTCAGATAAACCTTGGGTTTTAAGTTCACTTCTGCCATTTACTAGCTGTGTGACTGGGGCAAGTACTTAACCTCTCTGTTCAGGAGAGGTGGTTTAGTCTCTCTGTTGTTTAGTCATCTGTAAAATGGGGCTCCCAGGGCTGCGTGAGGATTACCTGTGAAGTTCTAACATTCCTGCCCGTCTTCGCCCTGAGTGTGCCTGCGAGACTTCAGACCAAGACTGGCCCTCCGGCTGGGGCACGCTGCTCACTTCCCCTGGGCCTCAGACTTCTCCAGCACAGAAGGGTGGCACCCCCTCCTTAGGCAGGGGGCCCCAGAGACAGCGTTAGAGCAGGAAACACCCGTTCCTTGTACGTTTCTTTGTTTGAGTAGGAGGAGGGATGACTCCAGGAGAAGGCAGTTTAGCCCCCCACCCCACCCCCTCATCATTTCTAGATCCCCTCTCAGCTGAGGGGTGGAGCAGGGCAGTGGGGAGTGAAGGAAACAGCTCTGAGAAGGTAACATAGAAGGAGACCTACAAAGGACATTAGGAAGGTAATGAGGGAGGGAGGAGCCTGGTCCCCACACTGAGGGAATGCCTAGGGCTGGTTGGGTCTGTGGCTTCTGGAGGGAGAGCAGCTAGAGAAAGGGCCCCCTCCTTTCACATCCTCTTCTCACAGGAATGCAGGTTTGGGGCTGCACATGGGCATTTGCATTTTGGTGCATCCAGGCAGCCTCTTCCCTAGGAAGATGGGAGCCTGGGAGCCTGGGAGCCCCATCACAGCCCCAGGCAGGCAGGCTGTCTGCACATATGTGCACACTCTCTCACACCTGCAACACATACCCATATGTGTGTGCCAGGCCTGGTTGTGGAGTAGGGAAAGGAACTCAGACACCATTCTCATTGGACAAGCTTAAAACACAACATGGCTCATTTTTATTGTATCTCAGAAAAAAAAAAACATTCCCTTCAGAAGGAAAGGCAGTTAGATAGGGCCTCTACCTGGGCAGCTCTGAGCTCCCCAGGCTAACCCATCCTGGCCAGCCCCGACATCCTCCCCTGCGCCCACGCTCTGGCACGGCTCCATTACAACTCGCTGTCCTCGAAGGAGACGTGCATGGCAGCTCATGGCAGCAGGAGAGGGCTGCCTGGGTCTCCCTGGGCCAACTCCTGGTGCCAGGTTAGCAGCAGGGCTGAAACAGAGCCAGCAACCAGGGAGGGAAGATTAAAAGGGTTTCCTCACACTTACATTTTCTCCTGGAAAAAATAGTCAAACGCCACCTCTGAGCACAATAGCTCCTGAATCCTTGGAAAGTCTGGGGAGGGTGGTGTGTGTGTGGCAGGGGGGCCTTTTGGAACCACTCCCCAGCCTCAGGCCAGCCAACCTGCTCTGCCACAGCTGCTCTGCGGAGACAAGGTGGCACTTCTAGGTGCTTCTGGAGTTGGGGACCAGCCCTGGCCAGCCAAGATGCTCTCGTGCTGGGGCTCTGGCCTGTTGCAGGGCCTCCCAGCATGAAACGTCCACTTCCTCGGACTCCAAACCCTTCCTTCTGGGCCTCATGCTGCTCCAGCCGGGGCTCCCTCCTCAGTCCAAAGTGGAAACCGGCCATGAGAAGGGTCTCCGGCACATGCACTCTTCTCTCAACGTGACTGGTTCCACCAACCAGGAAGAGAAAGATTTCCTTCCCTTAGGAAGGGGCAGACTCAGTGGTTCATCAGGACACTCCTGCTCCATCCTGGGCTTGGGGACCCTCGAGGCCCAGGGACTCTGGGCGCTCTCCCTTGAGCTCCTGTCTGAGGAGCTCCACGTCTGGGAGGCCCACGTCCCGGTGGGACTCACGGGCACTCCCTCCACTCAACAGCCCCAGGGTGTAGCCATTGGGTCGCCGCTCAGGCTGGGGGGCACTGCCGTTGGCCCACACCCCGGGAGGGTGGCCATTGAGGCGGAGGCTGATCTGCTCCGCGTCGCTACTGTGAGCTGCCAGGGCCCGGGCACTGGTGCCACCTGCTTTGAAGGGCTCCCGCTGCCTCAGGATGTGGCTGCGAATGATCTTGCGGAAGGTCTGGCGGAACTCGCGGATGCGGTAGGCATAGATGAAGGGATTCACCACGGAATTGGTGTGGGAGAGGATGATGGTCAGGTACATGAGCCAGGGTGGGGCGTGGCTGCACTTGGGACAGAAGAAGGTGAAGCAGTTGATGATGTGCAGGGGCAGCCAGCAGAGGGCGAAGAGCCCCACAATGATGGCCAGCGACTTGGCAGCGTGGACCTCCTTCTGCAGCGTGGACCGGGCTCGCTCCCCCGGCAGAGGCTGGCTCTCCATCTGCTTCAACTGCCGCCGGGCTGCCAGGAAGATCCGCAAGTAGACACCCAGCATGAGCAGCAGGGGCACCAGGACACAAGCAAAGAAGTTGTAGTACACCATGTAGTTCATGGGGACCACGTCCTCAAAGAGACAGGCCACCTGGCCCACCCTGCAGCCCTGCGAGTGGTTTCTGCCCTCCTGCTGACTGCAGTTGTTCCAGCCTAGCATGGGAGTCAGGCCGATGGCAAACGATAGCACCCAGCAGACTGCAATGATGCCCTTGGCCCTCGTGCCTGTCACCAAGCCATTGTACCTGGGGAGAGGAGACCAGCGTCAGAGGCCTGGGAAACCAGGGCTAGGAAGGGCCAAGAGTCAGAAACCCAGAGCAGCAACCTGTACCTCATCCACTGGCTGTGAGGTCTTGGACCAGTCACTTCCTGCCTCCTAGCCTCCATATCCTCTTCTGTTCAGAGGAGGGCCAAGCCTGGCCTTTTCTCACAGGAGGTAACAGGAGAGCAGGCACCCTGGAAAGGGAGACCACTGCACGGACGTCCAGATGATTTTTGAATAGTATTACGAGTAGTCCTGGGACTTAATTAGTTTGGTTTGAAGGAATTAATAAGTGATTCTGGGGGGGTGAGGAGGGGAGAAGTTATAACCTCCATGTTGATCTCAGTCGATGCTACAGTGGGTGTCCCTTTATTTAGAGTGGGAACGGGTCAGGAGGGTACTTGCTGGCTGGGAACCAAACCAGCCAGATCAAACCTGTAGGTGGTTCACATCTCTTGTGCTTATGCTCTTCCTTCCCCACTTGACTTAGGGTCTCCAGAAGCCCCTAAGGAGAGGTGGTACAGGTGGGAAAAGGAGGGGTGGAGGTCCCAGGCCAAATGAGATACCCCCTCTCCCTTCCAAATTCACCCACAGCCCTCTGGAGAGAGATGAGATCAGTATGTCTTAACATTTATATAAGCCTTAACATTCAAGAGGAAAGAGTTGCATGAGATTCTAAGGTCCAGAGAGGAGAAGTAGTCTGCCCCAAATCACTCAGTACTCTAGAGCACCAGACTCAGTTCCAGACTCGGGGAGTGGCCTGATCTGCTGGCTCAGAAGCTGACCTCAGGCCAACAAAAAAGGGTGGTATCGATTTTATTAAAAGAAAGGGCAATCAAAAAATCATCTCCCTGACTGAGGAAGGTGACCTCAGTTATCTCTGAGGGATGACTTTGCATTTAACGGTTTTGATTCCGGCAACACCAGACTGCCTTCCTCTGTACCTAGTAAACCCTACCCATCCTTTCTAAGTTCAGGTTAGATAGATCTCAGAGAAGTTTACTACCCAAGCTCAACTAATCCCTACCCAATCTGGGCTCCCAAGGCTGGGGGCCCCTTGGGTCCCTATATCCATCGCTGCATTACCATCACTGAGACAGGACATAGTAGGTGTCAAGGAAAAACATGCTTAATTCTGGAGCTGGAAGTATCCATAGAAACTAGTCCATGGGGTAGCAAACACAGGGGCCTAGAGGTTACAAACGTGTGAGGCAGGCAGGCTGGTGGGTATTTACCCTGTGTGCAGGAGGCAGCTGATACCACTCAGCCACCCCTCCCCCACCCCCACCATGCAAACTTGCCCATGCTGCCAGATCTCAGGAGGGTCTGGGAGCTGGTTTTTCTGGGTAAAACCTCCCATGGTTTAAATTTTGTCAACTGATTCAAATTAAGGGGAAAAAGAAACACAGTGGCCTCTGACCTCTAGTCTATTCCAACCCTCTCGTTTTATAGGTAGAGAAACTGAGGCCCAAGGAGAGGAATGGACTTGCCTGGACATTCCAGCAATCCAGAGGCAACTCGGGCCAAGGTAACTTCCTCATTTCTGAACCCAAACAGTAACCTAGCAGGACCGTTCTCCCGAGCTCTGCAGCCCCATTCACTGGGGGCTTGGGTGCCTGCAGCAGGAAGAGGGTCATGGACTTGCCCATTTCTGTCAAGCCACAGAGAGCCTATACTGCCCTATTTCCTGTTCTGGAGCTTCAAACGTGAGGTCACAGGTTTTTTTTTTTTCCATTTATTACTTATATAGCACGTGCTCTGTGCCAGGCACTGTTTTTAGTACTCTACAAATAGTAATTTATATGATCTGATTGAATAAGAGGCTATTTTAATTTTTTAAATATTTATTTATGTATTTGCTGCACTGGGTCTTAGTTGCGGCATGTGGCATCTTCATCGTGGCACGCGGGCTCTTAGTTGTGGCATGTGGGATCTAGTTCCCTGACCAGGGATCGAACCTGGGCCCCCTGCATTGTGAGCTCGGAGTCTTAACCGCTGGGCACCAGGGAAGTCCCAGGAGGCTATTTTGATGTTGATATTTTTCTGAAGAAAAGCATATTCCCTCTGGGTTCTAGCGATGGTGCATTCTTGTTTAGCCATGTTGTCACTGCCTCTCTGAGCCTCAGTTTCCCTATCTGTAAAATGGGACTAAGAATCTGGGGCTTGTGAGCACTGTCCAATGAGGGCAGATTGTAGAATTGTTGGGTGAAAATTGTAGGGAGATGGATTGTGGCTCAGGGTAAATGAGCTATTCACAGGAGAAATGGACTGCCTCAGGCAGTGGTGAAGCTCCTGTCATTTGAGGCAGTCAGGCAGAAGCAAGCAGTAATAGGGATGGTGTAGAAGATCCTGGAGGCCACCTGCTTTGGGGATTTTCAAATTGTTCTCCAGCAGCAACCCTTCTCACCTGCATTCCCAGGCAATCACAGAATTGGAGCTGCCGAGGAAGAGAGGAGGCTTAATAATATTCACTGAATGAATGAACTGCGGGGGAAGCCAGGGCCCAGCCTGAAGGCTTCTGGGGACACGGTTTGAAAATTCCTGTTTTGTCCACTTGTCTACATTTAGATGAGGAAACCTAGGAGAGGAAGTCTGCCACTGCATTCTGAAAAGAAAGCTCCTCCTGTCCTGAAGACAGACACAGAAACACATTGATAGCACTTGTCTCTGTATGCAAAGGATGTCTGGAAGGATTCCCAACACTGCCTTCCAGGAAGGGAGCTGAGGTGGGGCAAGGGGGACAATTCTTTACCATATATGCTTTTGTTCTTTTTTGATGTTGTAATACATGCAGGTATTATTTATTTTAAAAAGATACCAAACAGATTAATTTTGTTATTCGAAAGAAAGCCTCTTAGGCTGAGAGCCCTGGACCCAGGCTCCCAGGGGACTGGATCAACATTAGGGCCCAGATGGAACCATGGCCAAGCCACAGCCTGGCCCAGCAGCATCTCCCATCCCCTGAGCTGTGTCTGTGACTAAGGCAGTCACATCTTGCCCTCCTGGGCCTCAGACATAGACTGCCTGCCTGGTGGAGGGGGTGCCAAGGCCATCCAGGGTCATGCTCTGCTGTTCTGGGGAGCCCAGAAGTGTCATAGGAAGCCGGTGCCAGAACCACAGCCCCCGCGTTTAGAGGTGTTTCTGCATCCCTGTGTCCTCCAGCTCACAGGCTGCCCCTTCCTGGGGGCTCCCCATTACTTACATTGGGGGCTTACCCTATGAGCCAATAGTACCCCCCACAATTCAGGTCAGGGCTTCCCGTGCATTTGCCCTTCAGTCAGGAGAAGGCGGAGCTTTCCTAAGTTGTCCAAAGGAGCCACTGACCTACAGCTAAAACCCAAACTCCCTCCCAAGCATGGGAAGGCCTGAGCCAGCCTCACAGCCTCCCTGTAGGCTTGTTCTCCTCTCTGTCACCTCTCCCTGGCCCAGAGCCCACATGCTTATTCCTTCCCTGTGGCCTTTGTCCAGGCTTGGCCCCCTTGTGTTACCCCTTCCCCCACACACGCCAATGCCCATTCCAATGCATCCCCAGCAACCCATGGCGTCACCTCCTGCAGGGAGTCCTCTCTCCCAATCCTGCCCCCTTAGAAGCCAGGGTACTCAGGTTTTGTTCCCTGGGGCAGTTCACCACAGAGGACTCTGCTGCCCCATAAGAAGGCCTGTTTCCCGAAGGGAGAGAGCAGTCAGAAGGGGCTAAAGTGAGAGATGGGAGACAAGGGGTGTGGAATTCCCCTGGGAAAAGAAAGCCTTTGTCACCCTGGGAATTCTGTCCTCTGGGGACATGGAGAGCTCCCATCCCTGCCTCTGTCCAGGCCCTGCCCTAGCCCAGTAGGGTCCGTGTACTTGGGAAGGAGCACATAAGATTTTTCTGAAACTGAATTCTTTTTAAAAAAAAGAAAAAGAAATTAATGGTGAACGGTGCAGGCCTGGAGCTAGGCATCCAGAGCATCGGTCAGAGGCTGGACTTCAGGTTAGCCAAATGGACTTACTGAGTGGATCAGGAAACAGCACACAGGAGAGACTGGATTCCAGCTGGAAGGGGACAGAGGAAGGGGGGACAGGAATGGGCACCCTGAGCCAGGCAGCAGTCCCAGAGCTGCCCCGGGTTACCATCTGCCTCCATCTAGTCCCCACTCATGCCCAGCTTGCTCTCAGGAGCCCCACACGGACAACTTTACACACCTCGTTCTCCCAGCCCTCGCCAGCCCAGTACCCTTGAGGAAGAGGAAAGTGGAGGGACCCAAGGGGACCTGGAGCAGGGTGAAGGGCCCTGGAGTCCCCCATCCGGAGACACTTTTCCTTCTCTGGCTCTGGCCTCCCCACGAGTAACAGGAGGGTCATAACATCCGCCCGGCCACAATGCCGGCCGAGAAGATCAAAGGAGACGCTGAGCCAACATCCTCTGGCAAACGTGGAGCTCTCTGCCCCAAGGGGGCTTGAGCATCATCACCACCGTCATCCCATTGGCTCCCTGACCCAAGACAGCCAGGCTGACCCTTCTAAGCCCTATCAAGTGGAGCTCAAATGGCCAAGGTCTGGGTGGAACTAGGTCCTGCTCTGGAAGACTGTGGGAGTTGGGCAGGCAGATGGGGTTGGGAGGGGGGGCCAGGTCCATGGCTCTGAACCTCCAGCAGCTTCAGAAAGACCTGAATCTCCATCCACCCACCCTGCCATCCTTCCTCAGGGACCCATCACTCCAGTCCACTCACTGGGCCCTCAGAACACCTTTGTGAGCTCAGAGGGATAGAGACCTGGCCCCTTTTATAGATGAAAAATGGGCCCAGAGAGAGGCAGCTGACTTTCCACAGTCACACAGCATGTCCCATCCTCTTGCATCAGGGAGGATGGGACTTTTGACTCTTGAAAAACAGAGACAAGAAAAAGAAGCCAAGGAAGGCCCTTTAGATTGAGACCAGCAGCTCTGATCTCTCCCTCGAATCCACTGCTCCTTGAATCAGGGAAGAAATTGAGAACGACACCTCTGCTCCCCACTGAACATTCCGCCAGGGCCGGCCCGGCCCAGCCCACACTGGCCTGGCCCCGAAGTGGACAACAATCAATCAGCCTGGGAGCCCTAAGGCCTCTGTGTCCTGGTCGAGCCTGGACTCTGGCTCTGCCCGTTTAGACTGGTCCTCTATTAGGACCAGCCAGAGTCCCCTTTTCTTTTGACAAGGGTCCTAGGCTGTCCCGAGACAAAGTATTCTGGGAGGGCCACACGGGGCCCAGGCTCCTTCCTTCTTAAGCAGCATGATGAGGGTGTCTGTCTGCTTTTCCCTTAGAGCCCAGGTGGCCCAGGTTCTGGGAGACAGGGGCCACCCTATGACCAGCTCCCAAAAGACTGAAGTCACCGAGGGTGGCAGTCATGTTTCTTCCCAGGCCCAGTCCTGACTGTGCTACCGACTCATTGCATAGCCCTGGGGGCTGACTCCCTTCTCCGAGCCTCATTTTTCCATCCATAAGATGAGAGGAAATGACCTCTAAGGGTGCCCCTGGGTTTGACACTCTATATTTCCATTTGCTCATTGAGCCTGTTCCCTGTTCTGGCTGGGGCACCCCCAGCCCAGCGTGGGGCTGGTGGGACTACTCTGGTTCAGAGAATTCGCCACTGGATGGGGCCACACCATCCTCTGAGACCTTCCTCAGGGCCTGCAGCCATCTAGGCTGTGGAACCCAGCTCCAGGGTGGAGGGGCGAGGAGGTGGGGCAGAAGGCCCCCAGGCCGGCCCCCAGGTGGGGAGGGACACACTTCCTAGCCCTGTCCATGGGTTGGTGGTGGTAGGTGGAGGCTGTCTTTAAGTGAACTCAGCCTCAGGGAAAGTCTTTGTTTACACAATACATGGCTGAAGTCATTCCACAAAAGTTTCACCATAAAAACCCCCATCCACCAGCCAGCTCCCGTCCCCCATGAACACTTGGTGACTGAGCAGCACAGAATTTGCATAGAGGTCCAAGTGACTCACGAAGGCATTTGACCAAGTCACTTCCCCTCTCTGGGTCATTTTCCTAATGTGCAAGCTGCAGGGCGGCCTGGAGGAGCTGGAGGAAGGCAGGCGGGTAGGTGGGCGGGCTTCTAGCTCTCAAGTCCTGTGGTTTCCCGTGGTGCCCACCCTGCCCCACTGTCATGCTGTGTGAAGAACGGCCCAGATGCACCCACCCAGGCCTGGGCTGCACACATCTGCCAACAGCCAAAACACGGCAGCCTCACCCATGTAGCCCAGGGGAGCCTGGGAAGGACCAGCCTGCCCTGTGCCCACAGGGATCAGCTGGTGTGGCACAAGTGCTGGCCATGTGCCAAGCTCTGGGCAGCCCCAGACTGAGCCCCATGGCCCTGTCCTCAGCTCAACACACTGACCCCAGACCAAGTCCTGACCCCAAGTTCACCCTGACCCCTGGTTCACCCTGATCCTGGCACAGACCAGACCCTGACACAGGGAGCGTTTTCACAGATGTGGCCCCCAGCATGAGGTGTACCAGGGAAGAGAATGTGGCTCACCGGAGTGGGATGCGGATGGCGATGTAGCGGTCAATGGCGATGGCCAGGAGGCTGAAGATGGAACTCTGCGTGAGGACTAGCACGAAGCAGGCGAAGAAGAGGCAGCTGTGGCAGGCGGCACAGAACCCCGTGCTGATGGTTATGGCAAAAGGGATGGCAAGGACCCCCACGGCGATGTCGGCTGCCGCCAGGGATACCACAAAGTAGTTGGTGACGTTCTGCAGATTGCTGTTCAGCCACACAGCCCAGCACACCAGCACGTTGCCCAGGATGGCCAGCACGGCAATGGCCAGCTCCACCGTGATGTACACCGAGGAGCCCATGTTGGGCACAGCTGCAGATGGGCAGGGTCAGCAAGGACGCAGGCCAGGCCAGCTCACGGTCCATAGCTGCAGCACAGCTGGCCTGCCCAGGCCCTGAGCCCCTTCACAGGAGCCAGGAGCGTCCCTGCCGTTGGGGGGGCCCCCCAAGGGCTTTTCACAGCCAACTCCAAGTCTTCAGAAACCAGGCCCTCTCCAGGGGCTCTGGCGGCATCTTGGCTCAGCTTAGCTCCAGAGTTCCTGTGGTACCTGCCAAGGGAGAAGCCGCGTGAGGAGGTGGACCACTGGCAGGGGCACAGCTGAAGATTCCCAGGGGCAGCCCTCAGCCCCGGATCCCCAACACCCTCCCCACAGGCCGGGCATCAGCCTGAGGACGACCTACTGTGCCCTGCCTCTCCCACCTGAAACAGAGGGCCAGGGATCAACCCCAGTCTGTTTTTCTTCCAGAGGAGCTGAGAACTTTCAGAGTTGAGTCACTTGTGTTGGCCCCCAGGCTCAGCTTCTCAAGCCTTCTGTGGCAGCTCTGCCAGTTTCCTGGATCCCTGAGCTCACCACTACCCTACGACCCTCCCTCCTGGAAAGGCCTCCTTAACCCCTGGATCTCCCAGGGCCACCCACCTTCTCTCTCAGCCAGCTTCAGTCTGCTCCATCCCCCTGAGAGCGCTCCCCGGGGACTACCAGCACCTACCTTTGCTGCCCGAATAAGGAACAGGCCCAGAGACCCCAGAGCTCTGATCTGGGAGGATCTGGTGGCCCTCTGGTCCTGTCTCCCACTGCTGGCAGGTAAGCCCTCTTGCCCTCACTGGTGGTGCTGCACAGGGTGTTGGAGCAGGCACAAAGGGAGCCCGCCCCTCAGCAGCCCCCGCCAGCTGACTGCACATCTAGGAGGGGCGGCTGCCTCGCCTCCCCCCTCACTCCCTCCTCCCACACCTGCTCCCCAGCCTGCTTCTCTGCCTGGCTGGTGCACTCAGCCAGGCTTGCCTGGGGACTGCGGGCAACAATGTTTCTCCTTTCTGGGCCTCAGTTTCCCCACTGATACAGTGGGGAGGTTGGACCCCAGTAGCCTCTGGGGGCCATTTCAGCTCTCACCCATGATTCTATGAGAAGGGAGTGAACACATTTGAAAGGGCTCCCCCAGTCAAAATGTCATAGAAATGTAAAGAACTAGTGACACCCAGTAGAAGCAGAAGTCTTAGTCTCTCTAGCCCAAACCCCCAGGGATCCCCCTTGAGCTTGTGAAACAGTCTCCATCGCCCCTGCCAGTCCAGGGGCCTCTCCCCATCACCTCTACCTCCCCCTTGTCACACTCACTTGTGCTGCCCAGCAGTGTCCTCCATGCCAAATCCACCCCCTCCTGCAGTCCTGGGCTTTCATGGTCCAGGTGCACATGGAGAGTGGCTGCCGCCTGCCTGGGAACAAAAATCCTGAAGCTGCCTTTCAGGCTCACATGTGGGCTCGGGGTTGCATCCCCCCTCTCTCTTCCAGGATACGAGGGATCAAGAGGACTGGCAACCTTGGGAGAAGTTTGCTTATTGTCCCTGCCTGTATTTCAAGGGCCAGGCTCCCCCCACCCTGTCCAGGAGGTGATTTAGAGCTGTAATAGATGACCCCAAGTTTCCTTCTAACTCCAATCTACGTCAGGTGGCAGGAGCTGGGTGGGCACGGAGAGGTACAACAGAGAGGCGTCCCCCATGCCCACTGGGAGGCTTGGAGGGGAGTGCCCAGCCCCAGGAAGCCGGACAGAGAAGAGGAGGCCGAGCTCCTGAGAACCCAAGGGGTTCCTGCAGCCCACGGCTTCTCCCAGGCCTGGCAGGAGCCTGCCTCCAAGGGGCCATGGACAAGTCTCACCGAGCCCCTGCTGTGCACAGGGCATTTGCCAGCCAGCTACTTAAAAAGCATGTCACTGGCGGAGGTAGGGCAGACCAAGTCTCCTGGTGCCAACTCTGGCCACACAGTGTCCCTTGGTGCTCCCGGCCTGCAGCCCAGAGTAGCATTCACCAGGGGCACCCTGACTGCAGAGGCTATGTGTCCAGTGTCTCGTCCTCATTCTGCAGGAGTGAAGTGACAGCCCCTCGTTCTGCAGGAGTGAAGTGACAGCCCCAGAGCTGCCTTCCATCTGGGGGCCTCCCAGGTTCAGCACCACCAGCAGCGGACCACTGTCCAGTCAGGCCCAGCAAGCCCCAGGGACCCTGCCTCCTACCACCAGTGAGCCACCCATCCACCTTCCTGGCCTCCTGACAACCCCCTGCCATCCTTTTTACCCTGGCCTCAGCCTCTCCTGGGGAATCTGCATTGACAGAGACACAGCCTCTGCCAGTCCAACCAGCCCAGGCTGGAAACCTGACTCGGCCCTAGGCCATCATCCAGATTCAGAGGGTTCTTCCCAGGGTCAGATAAGGTGGGGCCACCAGTGATCCACCTGACCCAGATAAGTACCATGTTTTTGTGGAGCTGAACGTGGGCTGTCTGGCCCCACTGCCTGGAGCCCTACTGATGGGGTCACATCATTAGCATCTGCCCTGGATGTTGGGCTGACTCCATGTGGGCTGGGATGCCCAGCATAGAAGGGTGTTTGGGGACCCTAACCCAAGTCCTCTGTTTGGTGAGGTTCTCCTGGCAGACTCGGGACCCCTAAATCCTTGGGGCCTCCCCATCACCTTCTGTACTGTGGGCTCTCAGGCCTCATAGCACCTGGTACCAGCACCCTTCCTGACTAAGCTGAAGGCACCTTCCTACTGTCCAGCAAGCCTTGGGTACCTTCCCAGTCTCACTGGATACAACAGACCCTCCAGCCCAGGTCAGCCCTGCAAGGAGCCAGACACACCCCTGCCAGCTGGGTCTGGAAGGCTGCCTCCCTGCACACTGGGCTCCCCATCAGCCTTCTACAGCTTTCCTGCAGGCCCTCCAGCAGCTGCCAGCACATCCCGGGTTGAAGCTTGCCTGGCCACACAGGCAACCTGGTTATCTGCCAGACTAGAATCTCCCAGCCCCAAGCAGAGCACATCAGTGGAGCCCAGGGCACCGCGGGGTGAGCAGGGCACGGAGGTAGCTGGGAGGAGGTTGGAGCTTCCCAGCTGTCAGACCGCAAATCAGCCCAGGGTTGGGGGTGCCCTAACTTGGGGCCTTTGCCAGAGTTTTGTAGTAAAATGCTCCCATGATGGCCTGTTCTATGGTACTAATGAGTCACTGACAGGAACTGGGAATCAACGTACACAGCTGGGGAAAACCAGGCTCCAGCCACCACTGAGCCACCAAGCCCTGTGCTCTCCCAGGGCCCACCTGCCTGGACTCCACTCCAGACCCTCTACAATAGTTTGTACGGCCTGCTTGGGAGCTCAGGAAATGAGGGTGCAGAGGCCTGTGGGCCATCTGTGTTCTCACTGGCTGGCCCCATGAACTTCACTCCACAGATGAGGAAGCTAAGGCTCAAAGAGGCTAATGCCCTCCCAGCTTTACCATGAGCATAAAAGCGTGGGACAGAGCTGGGGGAATGCCCATGAAAAGCAGCAGCAGCAAGATTTCCTAGGGCCTCCTGGCCCCTCTCTGCTTTCCTCCCTTCAGAGGCCTCCTAGAGCAAGAGTGACAGGAAGGTTGGAGGCCCAGGGGGAGGGGGCTGGGGGCGGGGCCAGGATCTGGCAATTTCCTGTTCCTCTCTGTTGGCTCTAATTAATCCTTGAGTCATCTGTTGCTAGCCAAGAGGGGAAATGAAATATTAATAATGTAATATTTCCTTGTGATTGTCCCTTATTGGGGACAGGGCAGAGGGCAGAAGCCATCCCATACAGATCAGAGTTACATGCTGGGGAAGGTGCATGATAAGCCTCAAAAGGACAACCCCACAGGATTCCCCAGCAGTTAGACTCAAAACTGCTGCTTCTTCCCGCCTTTCTCCTTACCCTCACCAGTCTGGTCACTTTAATTAAAACTCCATTTAATCAAACCTGCACATTTCCTGGCTCCTTGTACATCAGACTAGCAAGGCTTTCTGTACACATGCCCACATGGTGGCTGTACCCCCCAGAGCCCGGTGGATAGAAGTGTCCGCCAACTTCCAGGCAGGACCCTGCACACCTGCTCCTGAGTGCAGCTAAGGGCAATGTACCAAGGCCAGCCTAGTGCCTTGGGCCTGTTGCAGCCACACTGGGCCTGTTCCTGGGCTCCAGAATCCCAGCCTGAGAATCCTCCACTACTTTCTCACAGCAGATGTTTCCAAGTACCTACTCTGTGCCAGGCAGCATCCCAGCTGCTACAGCACAGGGAGATTTGTGCCACCTGCTGCTGAGCCTGACCCCAACAGGCCCTGAGCCCACAGTGGGGGGCCTTAAGGCAGAGTTGTCCCAGGAGACTGTCCTGAGAGCTGGCTACTACCTAGGTGTGCAGGTCACTCCCCACTTCCAAGACTTCAGCTCCCACTAAGATGAGCCTGCAAACCACAATTTCAAAGCACAGGAGGAAAATTAAGGGTAAGAAAGATAAGCAACAGCAGCCAAAATATAGAGATTAATTCATTCCAGAGATGAAGATAATATAGTAATCTAATAATTTTCAAAGACATTTAGGATCTTCAAAGAGATAAAGGAGTAGTATCCATAAACAAGAATGAGAATTATTGGCAGAACCAAAACAAGAACAGGCAAATATGAACGAGAAATAATATAAAAATCCTGGAAATGAAAAACAGAAGGATTGAGGAGAACACAATTGATGTGCTGTCATGTGCATACAGTTTGAGGAGACAGTTGGGGATCTGAAGACCGCACTGTGGAATTCTCACCCAAACCTCAGAGCAGGTAGTTGAAAGAAATGGAAGGTAGACTGAGCAGCAGCACCTCAGTGGGAAGGGAACTCAGTGGGAGAGTGGAGAGGTCAACAAGCAAGGGAGAAATAGCTGGACAGGCAGCTCAGCTCTGCCCCAACCACAAGCCCTCCAGTGGCCTTTAGAGTGGCCCAGGCCTGGGCACAAGACTCCCAAACCTCAGGACCCTGGGACCGGCCAGGCCCCTCTCCGAACCCATCAATGAGAGCAGGGCCATCTCCAGTGTTGCCTGGAGGTGAGCATCCTCTGTGTCATGGCACCTCTTCCCTCCCTCTCTCCCTCCCTGCAGGGTTGCTAGCAGCTCCAACTTCAGGAACCTTGTGAGGGCTGGGCCCCAGGTACCCTGGCAGGCACCAGTGGTGTCCCTTCCCCCACGGCCCCTGGGGTGTGCAGCTGCTGCTTTCAGAGCCTGGGGGCAGGATGTGGGCAGGCCTGGGGCTGAGAGCCTGCTCCCTGCACTGAGTCCCGCCCCCAGAGCAGCCTCCACGTCAGCAATGCCGGGAGCCGCAGGGCCTCTCTCCCTGCTGGGGGCCCAGAATCCCCCTTCCACCCCCTCGTGTCCAGGCCAGATGCCAGAGAGGCCACAGGCCCTGCCTCTTCCCAGCCTGACATGGCCACTCACCCCCATGGGCTGCCTCACCTGACTCCCCGCTCCAAGGGGCCACTCCACACGCAAAGTGCTACGTGCCCACCCTGTGTTGCAAGGAACCCAGATGGGATCCCACTCCTGCTCCATCCCACACTCCCTGAGACCCTGAACAAGAGGCTTCCCCTCTGCACTGTGGCCCCTCTGGTACAGCAGGCCACAGTGAGACAACCTCCTCACCCACATGGCTCAGCACCCACACCTCTCAAGTGAATCTTCTACTGGCATGACGACAGGCACTACCATGCCTGAAGAGGTCAAGATGGGGGGGGGGCTTTCTAAATGGCCCTGAGAACATAGACCCTAGTGGGCCCGGGGTGGGACCCTGACAGAAGGCTGGCCTGCTGAAGGGGCAGTGCCAGGTGCACAGCCTCAGGAGCTCCCAGAGGGTGGGTATGCTGAGGATGGGAGGCAGGCAGACCCACTTCTGGGGTCCCTGGGACGAAGATGTGATGATGCAGCCCTGGAGGCTGAAAGGAGAGAGCAAGAGGGTCAGCCAGACCAACTCCAGCACGGCCCTGCCACTGCTCCCTGGTCACTCAGTGGCCTCTGGTACCCGGCTTACGGTTTGCAGAGGCCACTGAGGGGCCAGAGGTGAATGCTCTGTGACAGATGGGCAGACACATACCAGCCCTGGGGGCCTCTGGGCAGAAACCACTACCCTGACAGCAGGGAGGCACCAGAGTGGCACTGACTGCCTCTCCATGGCGCACCAAGGCAGCCTTTCTTCCAGGTGACAGCTGGGCTGACGCGAGCAGCAACAGAGGTGGGAACCGCAGAAAGACCCTGCCCAGCAACTTCTGAAACAAGCTTGTCCTATGGAAGGGGTTGTGGGCCAGAGGAGTCTGGAAGGGCTCTCAGAGGAGGGGGCATTCATGCTGGATTTGAAGGGTCAGGGAAGAGAGGAAAGGAGATTCCAGGCAAAGGCAACAGTCTGTGCAAGGCCCAGAGGCATGCCAGAGAAGGCCTGCGGGGGTCCTGGAAAGCTGAAGCCTCCTGCCTTCTCTCCCCCATCTCCCCCATCCACCATTCTGCTCCCCCAGCTAGAGTGAGGGCAGCTGAGCTTCTCCAGTCCCCATCAGGAGTCAGGATCCCATGGCTTCCACACTCTAAGGGCCCCTTGCATGATTCTGTGGGCAAGGGCTGGGGGACCTCTGCCACTAAACTGCTCCTTCCCACCACCCAGAGCTCCCAGCCCTGTCCAGGAGGTGAGCAGTCTCTTGGGAGGGCTCCCTGCATCCCAGCTCTGAACTCCTGCCATTCCTCACTTCCCTTCCCCCATCTGGGCCCAGCACAGACTTCCAGGGGCCCACCCTTAGCACCGCACTCCCACTGCTCCCTTCAGCCTCCAGACCATGGGGCAAACCCTCCCTTCTGTGGCCGCCAACATTTCCCAGGCCCAGATCCTTCCCTAGGGGCCGGAGCTCATCCTTCTGTCAACTTAGCACCTGACACCAGTGATCTCCTCAGGGTCCCCTGACACACACACCAAAACTTCTTCTCAGCCCATCCTTCAAGCCCTTGCCTTCCCTCAGGCTGTGCTCGCCGTAGCTCTCATGTATACACATCTTTCAGCAGACAGGACTGACCCCCACAAGACACTTGGGGTGGCAGTTCCAGCTCACTCAGAGTCAGGTGGCTCAGGAGTCAGGCAGGTTAAATGGGAGCAGGAGTTGCTGAGGGATTTCAGGTCACTGCTGAGGGCCACCAGGTGCTGTGGTCCTACACAGCAGACCTAGAGGCCCTACATTTTGCAGGGTGTGATGCCAGGTGCTTGCTCCCAATCCAACTCCAGTCCACATG